GTTCTCACCTACATCGTCCACATGGGACGACTCGGGAACTCAACTCCTACCCCGGGCAGCTCACCTATCCCCTTATGCCCAGGGGAAGGGTACAAGCCGTTTGACAGCTGATGCTAGCTGTCAGAACGGCTTTTACGCTGAAACAGGCGGGAGGCAGCAAACAGCTGCGTCCGACGAGGTCGCCTGCCACCGGAAGCCCCAAGCCTGTTAGTCCTGATGAAATGGCCAGAGTCCTTGAGATTGTGAATTTGGCCACCTGAGTTTTAGAAACATGTCCATTGGTTAAAGCCTTCCAGAAACAACATGTGGTTGGATCTATGCAGTAGTAAATGCTACTTCGAGGGAGGAGATGTTTTCATATGTTCTGAAAGAAGCAATCATTTGGTTTTTTTTCCTCAAGAAACCATTGTTTTATCCAAAAGATTTTGATAAATCAAAGCAGATTTGAGATATGGGAATGGGAAGAAGTCTTTTGCACTGTTAGTGTTTCATCTGAGATGAAGTTTGGGAGATGCCACAGAGTTCTAGGTGAGTCCAATGGCCTGGTTGTATAGTTGTTGAAGTAAAGTCTTTTTTAGAATTTGACTGCTTTGTATTAATGCTATTTTTTTTTAAAAAGTGTTACATTTCATTGCTATGCTTTTAATTTACTATTAAATGCCCAGAGTCATGGAGCAAGATGGATGACCATACAATTATTTAAATAAATGAACAACCTACATTTTATCAGAAGCTCAAAGCAATTTATTTAACTGCACAGAAAACACTGGAGGGAGGTAGCTGCAGAGGTATAGATAAAAAGTATTATTTATCTCCAGTTTAAAGAACTGTAGTTCTGTGCTTGGCTGTAATACTGTACTAATTCTAATATTTATTAGAATTGTACACATCTCAGGAATTACTTTATAACTTAAACAAATACAGCATCTCTGTGCATCTAAGCACCCAATTTTTTAGGCTTCTACCCAAGCCTGATAAAAATTGTGGTTCCTTTAAGAATCATATTAACTTTAATAAAGAAGCTATTTTTTCATATTCAAGAGGAAGCCTTAATAAAATAGGGCAACTTTAGAAAATAACTAGGTACTGCTTGGTCAAGCATATCTTCCTAACCATTTTCAAAGCTTGCATAGCCCTAATATTAATTTATTTTTCATAAAATCTACTGGAAAAATAACAGAACAGTAATCCAACACTTAAGCAAAATACATTGTTTATATAGTAAGTAGCTCACTATGTTCACAGAACATATTTAATCTAATCAACTACTACCTAATCATAGCAATTCACTTTGAGATCTAAAAAGCCATAATCATGCTTAATTGTCTAAGATTTGCCATTCTGGGGAACACCTCTATCTTACCTGTATCCTCTGAACAATACTGGTAAGAAAGTATTGGTAAGGCTTATACTAATAGTATGACATAAATGGTCCTTCCCTTGTAGCCAAGCAGGCAGCAAGGGGTATAACTTGGATGTTGTAGCTAATTAGGACTTGAATATTGTTTTGTGCTGCCCAAGTGTTTGCAGCAGGTTTTTTTTAATGGAACATTTTCTACAATCATCTACTAGTCATTTCTTATTTCTTTGGAGACAGGATTCTTTTTTTCTGAGTAGAGATTATTTTGAGCAACGTTCATTTCTCCTAGATATGAACCATTCCCTCATGCCAACATTTTGCATATCTTAACATTTCTCCCTGAACTTTCAAATATTTAGTACATATTATTGAAAGTTATAAAACCTCAATCACTTGTTGTAATGTTTTGACCTTTATGTGTACTGTACAAGTAATTTACTCCTTTTTCTCTGTCAAATATGATTATCTTTGGCCTTGATATATTGATTTTCAAATCCATATTATTTGTTGAATCATGCAATTTAACATTCATTGCAAACTGTTTGGTTCTTAAGCACATCATCTGTAAATAAAGGTGCATACAGGTAGTCCTTGACTTACTAGCAAAATTCAGACTGGAACGTCTCTCACCAAGCGGTACAGGTAGTTCTCGAGTTACGAACTTCCAACTTCTTGCGAAAAATCTCGTGAAAAGTCTGATTGAACTTTTTTTGTTTTAATCCCACAGACTTTTGTTTCCCTGTACGTGGCGGCAGAGAAATGTGACAGGATGCTGCAACTGTCATAATTACATGCCAATTGCCAAGCACCTGAATTTTGATTATGTGACTTCAGGGGCACGGTGAGGGTCGTAAGTATAAAAACCAATTGTAAGTCTTTTTTTCCCCAGTAATCTTTTCATTTTGAACAATAAATAAATGGTCATAAATTGAGGATTACTTATATTCCCAACCAATACATCTCTAATATTACCACAGGCATTCCCCATATTTTTATACATAACTACATTAAACATCCAAAAGAATTACACATTCTTGTTTTACTCTGTGCTTAATGTTGAGGCATTTGTTAAACATTCTGTTCCTACATATGCTTTATTAATATTATACACTACACCTATGTAATTCATCAACCAATCTTCAACTCCATATACATTCAAAACCTACCATAATTCTAATCTCTTCACTTTCTAATGCATTTTATCTCAACCAGAAAATATGTAATAAACCTTCTCACATTTATACACTCATCACAGCCTCTGCCCAGCATAAAGCTGAAATGCACTCCCCATTTTACTAATAAACTCTTCTCACATGATTTCCACTACAATTCTGTCAAATGCTTTCCCAGGCAAACTTAATAAACAAATTCCCTTAATAGTTGTTAACCTACTTTCATTATCTTTCTCTTTATAGAAGGGAACAATAACATCACTCTTATAATCATCAGATGCAGATAAAATCTTCACAAACATTAAACAAGAGGCACAGTCATTCCATAAGCAGCTACATACACAATTTAGCATTTCTGCAGTTACATCATCTACACCTTGTAGTCTTGCCAATTTTCCACATTCTCACCACAGGTGTGACTTCCTTTTCATCACTGATAGCATTTCTTTCAATTCCATTGCTGGGCATACCTTTATCATTCCCATGCATATTTCTAAAATACTCTTTGCACCATTCCCCCACTTCAGTTTTATATCAAATTATTTCAACACCTTCTTGTTTAATTACATCTGTTCTGATAAAAGCTCAAAAGCCCAAATTAATCATGTTTTTAGATTCATTTCTTTGCTTGGTGTATACATGAATGAAGATTTGTCAGACCTACTGTGTTTCCCCAAAAATAAGACCCAACCGGATAATAAGCCCTAGCATGATTTTTTCAGGATGCTCGTAATATAAGCCCCACCCCAAAAATAAGCCCCAGTTAAGATCGTCAGCCAGATGGACCCATTTAGTACGTATTTCCCCGAAAATAAGATCTAACTGGAAAATAAGCCTTTTTGGACTTTTGGAGCAAAAGTTAATATAAGATCCAGTCTTATTTTCAGGGAAACACGGTATATTTTTCTACACAGATTAGATAAATTAATTAATTATGTGCAATCAAATCTGTCTTTGCAACTACAAAGGCAGATCTCCAAACTGGCCTATAAGTTTTCCAATTGTGCACCCATTGCCACTGTAATCAAATCTACCACCCTTGCTGCTGGGCATTCTCTCTTTCTTCCATTCTTACCAGATACTCGTTTTTTAAAAAAATGCTATTCTTATTTATTTTGGGTCTATCATTTTTGCTCTATCCTCATGTCATATTTGCATCTATTCAATCACATCGCTTAATGGAAAGCATTAATGGAAATATTGCAAATTTTCCCCAGAGCTCATATGTAATTCTTTCATTATCAGCCATCATTCCCACGCAATTATCACCAAGCTATGAAATACACCTTTCATATGTACCCATTACCATCTAAGCCAGTGGTTCTCAACCTTTTTAATGCCGTGACCCCAACCGGTCGTAAGTCGAGGACTAAACCGGTCGTAAGTCGAGGACTAAACCGGTCGTAAGTCGAGGACTACCCAACCGGTCGTAGGTCGAGGACTTTCCCTGCCCGGGAGCACCGCGCATGCGTGGTTCCGCCCCCTGCGCCGGCCGAGGCATAGCTGGCAAGCGGCAGAGACAGAGCAGGCCGACCACCAGCTGCCCCAGCCCAAGGGAGGTAAGGCACCCGCCGGAAAAGGGGGAAAAATGGCGGACAAAAAAAATGGCAGACAAAAAATGGCGGACAGCCTTGCTTGGCGACCCCCGTGAAATGGTCGATTGACCCCAAATGGGGTCCCGACCCACAGGTTGAGAACCACTGATCTAAGCCAATTCATATATTTAGCTCTCATTCATACAGGCATACCTTGTTTCTTGGCAGTTTGCTTTATTGATGTAGATACTGCATTTTTTAAAAAGACCCTCCACCAGAAAAAAGATAACTGGCTGAAGATTCAAATTAGCATTTGTAGCAATCTTTTTAATTAAGGTATGTACATTATTTTACTTAGACATAAAACTATTAGACACTTAATAAACTATAGTGTTCTGTAAGCGTAATTTTTATATATGCTGGGAAAATTTTAAAAAATGTGTACCTTGCTTTACTGTGATATTTGCTTTATTGTGGAAGCCTGAATCAAGCCTACAATATCTCCCAGATATGCCCGTAATTAAAACTACAGCTTTGCTTCCATTCATTAATTCTATTACACAACCTCAGAACATCGCTGGTCAGATCCATATCTTTCGTATTTGCTTTACTTTCAATAAACACTGTGTCTATTTTTCCTAGTTTCATTTCTTTCATAAATCATGTTGTTTATCATTCTTACATATCTCTTACATTCTAAGCTAAAATCTTCCATATGCAATTGTCGTCAACAGATAGATTCAAGAATATTAACTTCTATTACCTATCATGACTTTGCATATTTGCTTTGTTCTTTAAAAATAAAAATGTCAGTTTCATCAAAGCTGTGACCTCTAAAGAGAGAAAAATGGGAAGAAAGTATGGTTCTATAGCTGTAACAAAAAAGTTGCTTGACCATTTATCTTCCAAATAGCTTGGGGATCCCATTAGGAGCCTGCAAGATGATTGGATTATATATAGTTGGTGTTTATTCTCCCACAATCTTGCTTTTTATTTAAATTTATTTTCCTGATGGTCATGATATTGTTTAATCGTTGCTGGTTGTTGTTCATAGGCACACTGAGTGGAGATGGTTAGCCATACATATCTGCTGAATAAATAAACAGTGATGTTTCTTAATATTTCACAGTCCAAACACAACAAAACATAAACAAAATACCATTAAAGACTCATCAATAAAACAAACAATATATACTGCTCAAAAAAATAAAGGGAACACAAAACTATAGGGTGTCTTAGGTTTGTGTTCCCTTTATTTTTGTGAGCAGTATACAGTTAAATCTAACTAGGTAACAAACTCTTTACTCCAGAAAGTATTAATTAAATAAACATATTGCACACTATCAGAAGGATAAAAGATAAAACTTGCCTGGACTCACTTATCAGGAAGTTACAAACCTTAAGAATGGCAACTGAAAACCCCGTTTTCATATTTCTGTAAAATATGAAAAATGTATTTCTGATTTGGCAACCCAAACAAAAGAACCTTAGAATGTCAAGCACAGGAAAATTTACAAGAGAGGATATGATCCTCACACTAAGTCCCATAAGCTTACAAGTTATAGACAAGTAATGGAACTGTTTAACAGATCAGTTACTCAATCCCAATGCCCAGCTCCAATCAATTATCCAGAGCTGTTGTAGTTTCTGAACATTTCTGAAAAGCAGAACGCAGAAATCCCAAATGGGCTGTAATAAAGACATATATGAATATGGACAGCTCTCAGAATGCCTTTGGCATTCTAGCTTTAATTGTGCATGTATACACCCAGTCAAAACCTGAGGATCCAGGTTTCAATACCAATCTAGGACAGAGGCAAACAACTTTTTCAAACAATAAGTACCACTACACAATTTGGCATGATGTTTCAAGTATGAAATAAATAGCTTTAGAATGCAGGAAATCTCATATGAAAACAGAGATTTTACAAGATTGGGCTCCTTAAATCTTACACCATTATCATTTTTTAGATATCATCATCATCTAAGAGCGCCATGTTCAGTTGGGAATGTGCCAAAAAAGCAAATATGAATTTTCAAAGGGAGTATAACTCCATCCAAACTAAGTTAAAGTTGAACTGCCTATCAAATGACCACTTAGAGGTTTCAATAGTTAAATCTCATCCAGTCTACTACATCCAATATCAATTTATAGGAAACAGCTATTTTAAATATTTTATCATAAATTTCACTTAAATTCAGTGTTTGAAATACTGGCTCAATGAAATGCTCCCTCCCAGATGGCTCATGTATTATTTAGCCAAATGGCTGCAGTTAATTGACAATCAAAGTTGTCAATTATGTTAGACATATTCAGTAGAAACTGTTCCATATCAATAATTTTAATAATTCCTGCCGTCAACAATTTTAATCATATTGCATTTCCTGTTGCTTATCATAAACTATAGTGAACAAACTAGATGCAAGCAAAATCACAGCAATGAAGATCTCTTCCTCTTATTATATGGTCACAGTTAAAATGTGTTAGTCAAATCATTATTTTGTCAACAACATCACTACACAGGTTTCATACCCCCTCCTCTTCCTTTACTTAGCAACACATTTCAAATCATAGTTTGGAGGCAGTTTATATAGTTAGTGATAATTACTGTCCGCCCAAATGTCACAGCAAGCTAATGTTTTGAATAAATCAATGAAGAAGAAAAAAAGAATATGTGCTTGACTGAAAGGTAGTTGCAGAGAAGATGAAGAATATATTCATGATACCAAACCCTACCTATGTCAAGTTAATAATTATAGATATTCTGATGAATGTGTAATTTGTACACCTGGCACTGAGATTGAAAGACTATCCAAATTATTCTAGATTTCTGACATCAAAAACAGTTTGGCAAGCTATCGGCTTCCTCCACTCAAAGTTAGAATTAAGAATTATTAGTTAATAAAAATGAAATGTTTCTCATTTCAGAATTAAAAATTCAAATTATGAATATCAATTTTCTAAAAAATGTATTACTGACCTATTACAAGTTACAAATGGAAATCTGTTGTTTATGTCATAAAGTTCTTACATTTTTTCATAAACTGGCAGTCACTGTTTGGAGCCTGCAAATACAGAAACCTTAACATGGTAAAGAATAATGTAAACACAAATGAAGTACAAATAAATTAGTGCACAACCAACACTTACGACATTTCTCACAGTTGAGAGAGGCCTGCCCTACTTAACAGTTGTTTGCTATACAGGGTGTGGAATATCAGACAAGCCAACTGAGTGAGAAGTCATAATTAATTGCAATATTACCAAGCACAGATTAAAAAATAAAACAGCATTGTTATTATAAACCTTACAACTGGAATCTTCAAAACCTTGTTTTAATGTTGATCTTTATTTATGTAGTTTTTCCTCCCCAAAAGTTGTAAAAATTCATATAGCGTTTGAGAATGTTCAATATTTTGCAGCACTGTTTTCCCTCCTCCAGCTTTTATGTCCATATCTTTTGAACTTCTGTAAAACCTAATGGTATATTTCTTATATAAGTAGATAGATACTCTCATATACAGATATTCTAATAATGCATAAAAAAGCAGGAACAGACAAGGTAATTATCTCCATTAGATAATACTGGTAACAACTCCATGCACCCTGAATGTTTGCAAAAGTTTGCAACTTGAAGGTCTTCCTGCACTTGCAGCTCCTGTTAGAACAGCAGGCGAAGGTCAGATCCA